GTGGGTCTAATAAGCCCAAGGTCGCAGGTTCGACCCCTGCTGGCGGCAAATTATTTTGCACTCTTGGGTATAGTGACTATAGATAACGTATGATAGAATTATTGCAGAAATTCGATTGTAATATTAGAAGATGGCGTTTGAGATTCTCGAAAAGTAAATAAATATAATGTTTAAGGCTCATTGGGGGATACATGCTAATAAACCAGTTTTTTTTGTTAAACGTTAACAACACAATTTTTGTGGACAAATGCTCATAACCAAGCTCTTCACATTTTCTTTGATATAAACGAATACCTACGTTCAGACTGGACCCCTCTTCGTGCCCAAATTGACAATTATATGCACATCGATGTAAATTTGGAGAATGGAACCATGCCGCATATGCGTCTTCACTATGAAGCTGAAGTCATTAACTACTGGAAGAGTCTGATAGAGTATGACGAACAAATTACAGAAACGAAGAAGGCGGTAAGTGATTTTTTCTGCAAGCGAAAAATAAAAATGCGCACAAAAATTTGCTCTCAGATCGCTCAACCACGTGATGCGACTATTTCAACTGTTGCTGATATGGCTAATGGCGGCGATGTTTCAATCATCTACATATTGTTACCAATCTTCGCTGTGATTTTTACTGTATTGTTAGTGCGGTGTTTGGTTTATTGGCGGATTGCCGAAGATCGGTCTATCGGAGATAGAAACGAGAAAATGCCACTAATCTCATAAAATGTCATAGAGGTTTTACTTTAGAGATTAGTATTAGATGCTTCTCACTTATATTGATTGTTGAGAGATTTCTGCTATCTCATATTTGTTTCTTAAAAATTACTGATTTGAGTCTGACATGACATATGCGCTGCGGTCACGATACCTTTCAGTTCTTATCTCAGTAGGAAATTATATAGAGCTTTATACTTTTTGGTGTATTATGAGCAGAGTTCAATGTACAGGTGATACTCCATTTCTAAAGTTCAGTCCCTTAAATTCCCATGCGGCTGCGTGGCACCCTTACCTCTCGATTATCTTCAAACTGAGTGCTTAGAAGATTCACCCATTAGAGCCAACAGTCACAACGCGATGCTGTGCATTGGCCCGTAATGGCTACCAAGCAGCTGCAGAGGTGGAGGAACGGAAAAACTAGTTTTGGAGTATAGTGTGCAGTTGCACCGTGTGCACTCAAACCTTGTTTCTCTACTCTAACTTTCGTTAAGTTTCGAACTTAGTTTAAAATAGGACTAATTATTTCCAAACCCTAAAGTCTATACTCACATGCAAAAATCAAGAAAGAAATCATGCTTGGAAATACTCTATTTCTGAATACGAAAAGTAAAAAAAGAAAACATCACTTTCTTTGAACAAAGTCTGCGGCTACTGTATTTGACCATTGTATATGACCATATTTGACATGGGTGATCATTGATTATTGGAAACTGTTTACTCACTATGTGGCTATATTGCAAGGTTTCGTTCGCAGTTTCTGTTCGTTTTCATTCTTTTTTATTGTATCTTTACATACTACGTTTATTTACTACGCAAAATAAATCAAGAAATAGATGATATATGGTTTGAGTTCACTGTTTACCATTCTTTATTGTTGTTTGGAAGATTTACGCTGTGACGGCGCTTTGCCAACGCTTCCGTCTCGTCCTGCGGCTCATCTGCGACGGTTTATTACCGATTTATTCCTGCTTTTCATGTTGGACTATCTCTTGCTCAACAGTTTCTATGCGATCCTCGTTGTCAGTAGGAAATCTTAAAAATGCATATGAACACGAATTCGATGTGAACATAACTTGAGAAGAGTTCTAACATTTTAAAATTTCCGTTAAAGAAGTATTTTTGCTTAGAAGTGATTTCCGAATTGCAGACTGCGCGTAAAAATACGCTGGAAAAGCCTTATTTTTTGAAAAGAAAGCGAGTGAATTGCGACTAGGCATGTAGTTATCTAGCTGACTTTATAGGCGAATATAAATATTGGACCAACACTCATTGATCTGGGAGTTGTTATCAACCGCAGACATGATGACACAGCCATGTAGGTTGTTTTTGAATGAGCGTAATTTTGGAACATGCGGATTGACCTCAATAGAATCACTTTGCACGTGTCATACGATTGATGATTTTTTTTTGTTATTGTTAAATTTGAAATTCTAATCAGAGCACATTCTCTTGCCAGTTAAGGCCACATTAAACTTAGTGCATACATGGCGCTGATTTATAGTAGGATACTATGCTAAATCCGAAGTTGAGGAATTGCTGCAAAAAGGAGAAATGGGAGAGGGTTGAGACGGTTAAGTAAAGAATACCCGCCTGTTCTATTCGCGTCTTTTTAAAAAAATCTGAGCAGCCTTAAATTGCTTCGCCTGTCACAGGCAGGACATCGTTAACCCTAAATTTCCAACATTTTGTTGATAGCAATATTTGAGAAAGCTCGTTTAGCTGCTTCTTTTTGAACTTTTTTCTAAGTTTTAGCTCTTCATTACTCGTACGCGTGTGCCTTCTCGCATTCTTCGATGTTGCAGGAGCTTTGACCATCCTATTGGCAGGAAATGCATGGGCTACTGGAAATTATAATAGTCGTTTTCTTGTTTGTTATTTGCAAGACACTAGGAGTTGATTTTACCATCAGTTTGGGCACAGTTAGAGGTTATCAGGCAAAGGCGATATCTGGCAATCTTGTCAACATCTTCAAGGTGGGTTGTTCATTACTGTGATCACAGAAAAACCCATCTTATAAAAGAGCTCTTTAAAAGTGTAGTTTTGTGGAACGATATTAGATAACGATACGTGATATTACGATAATGCTATAGGCAGTCAACATAGGAGCACATAG